TATAATATACAAGTTTCACTTTTTAAATGGAATTACTGAAATCAATCTACTTTTTCATGATATTCTAATTTTATGACCAGCACCTGTATACTCCTCATCTGGGTTCTCTCCTAGTACCCCAGCCTTATTCCACAGTCCAAAAACATGTCTGTTACTGGCTAACCATCTCTAAATTAGGTGTGAGTTTGTGTTATGTGTCTTTGTGTGTCTCTGTGTTGCCCTGTGACAGACTGCTGACCTATCCATGGTATAGCCTGCCCCTTGCCCATAGACTCCCAGAGAAAGGCACCGGTCCTGCCGTGACTCTGATGGAATAAGCAAGAGAAGGTGGACGGATGTTTTACAGTTGGATTAGGCTATAATCAAAGCATCCATGTTGTTTAGTCAACCTGTGTGTGTGTGTGTGTGTGTGTGTGTGTGTGTGTGTGTGTGTGTGTGTGTGTGTGTGTGTGTGTGTGTGTGTGTGGTTCATTTTCATAAAACCTTTTTATGAACAAAAAGCAAATGGTGATCCTGGTAAAGGCCACAAGAAGACATGTTGGTGAGCTGATAGAGTTGTTTCTTCAAGCATTGCTGGAATCACACCTTCAAAGAAAGTCACAAAAGTATAGGCAATGACATAAAGTTAAACAAAAGTTTTACATCCACAATAATGTTTAATTCAAAGGCAGCTGCCTTGGTGAAATGTTGAAGTTTTTAGATCAGGAAAAGTTTTCTTTTGGTTTACACTCTTTTTCAAATTCTCCAACAGCTTCCCAGGAACCAGAAATCAGGATGGTTCTTATTGGAAAAACTGGAACTGGAAAGAGTGCAACAGGAAACACCATATTAGGGGAAAACCTCTTTAAATCTAAACCCTCTATGTCATCAGTAACACTCATGTGTCAGAAGAAAGACTGTTGTTTTGTTGGTCAGAAGCTGGCTGTGATTGACACTCCAGGTCTGTTTGACACAAAAGTAACAAACAGAGAAACACTGAGAGAGATCGCAAAATGCATCAGCATGGCTGCTCCTGGACCTCATGTGTTCCTGGTTGTTCTCCAGCTGAACCGATTTACAGAAGAGGAACAGATGGCAGTGACATTAATCCAGACATGGTTAGGAGAAGAAGCTTCCAAATACACCATGGTTTTATTCACTCATGGAGAGCTGTTGAGTGAGATGGGAGGAAGAGAAGCAATGGGGAGTTTAATCAAGGAGAATGAAGCTCTCTCTGACCTTATGGAACAGTGCCAGGGACGATACCATGTTTTTGACAATAAAGAGAAGAATCCAGCTCAAGTCAGAGAGCTGCTGGAGAAGATCAACCAGATGTTAACAGAAAATGGAGGAAGCTACTACACCAATGAAATGTTCGAAGAGGCAGAGAAAGCCAACAGAGAAGAAATGGAAAGACTTCTGAAAGAACATCCAGAAATGAGCCCTGAAGATGCAAGAGAAAAAGCAGAGAAAGACAACTCATTCATTTGGAACTTTATAGCAGGAGCTGGTACTGGGCTTGCTGTTGGAATAGGGGTTGGACAACAAGAGGGAGGTGCAATGGGAGCTGTAGCTACAGCTGGTGCTGGTTTGACTGCAGCATATAAAAAGATGTCTTGCATTATACAGTAATTGCACTAACTTTTTTTATCGTTCAGGTGCAACCTCTAAAAGTACCTTCTAGTATTGAGAACCGATTGTCAACAATTAACAGAGATCAGATTCATGACGCTCCATTTGTGCCAACAATATGTTAATTTGTGTTCTTTTTGATAAAATCGAAATATTCTGACTTTTTCTTTAAATGTTTTATGTTTATCCACCTTTGTAATCATTTCATCTTAAGAGCTCCTTTACTGGTTGGTCTGAACATAAATGATATGTTGTGGTTTATATAAACTACTCTAGATGTTTAGTGTCTTAGATAAAACAGATTTCAGAATATGTTGATTCAGCTTATTTTAAGACATTAATCACCCAAACCTTTGTGTGACTTTACAAACTATCAATAAACGAAAACCTGGTAAATTACAGTCTGTGTTTCTACCTTTATTGTGAATTATCTTTAAATGTTCTCAGATGGTCCCATGACATCTGAAGCTCTGCCCTCTGCTGATGTAATTTTGTTGTTTTCAGAATCAAAGCAAGAAGGGGACCTCAGAGTGGTGCTGGTGGGTCAGGAGAGAGTTGGGAAGAGCTCAGCAGGAAACACCATCCTGGGAAAAAGGGCATTTGACTGTCATGTCAGCTCCATCCCTGTGACTCTGAGCTCCCAGAGGATGGAAGGAGAAGTTCTGGGTCGCAGAGTCACTGTGGTGGACACCCCAGGGCTCTGCAGCTCCCGTCTTTCTGCAGAGAAGATCAAAGAAGAGCTGGAGGAAGCTGTCAAGCAGAGCTCTCCTGGTCCTCATGTTTTCCTCCTTGTTCTCCAGTTAGGGAGGTTCAGCAAACAGGAGCAGGAAGGGCCAAAGATTCTGCAGAAGATTCTGGGTCCTGAGGTTCTCAAACACACAATGATCCTGTTCACCTATGGAGATCGACTGAAAGACACTGATATAAACTTGGATCAGTTTGTTAGAGAGGATCCGAACCTGCAGAAGCTGCTGAAAAGCTGCAGTGGGATGTACCACGTTCTTAACAACAATGAGATGGAAAACAGGAAGCAGGTCCAGGAGCTGCTGGATAAAATAGATCAGGTCTCAGGTGGAGGTAGAAAATATTATGAGAAAGGTTCTCAGTCTGATGGAATGTGGTTTGGAAATATTTGCTCATTTCTCCATAAATCCACCTGCAGCATTTTTTTTTCTGGCACAAGGTTTTTTGGTAAAATGTGCAGATATCTTCAAATAATACCTCACTATAAACATATCTTGTTTTTCACTATTTCATTGGGAATTCTTTACAAGTTAGAATACGCAGATCTGATCCTCATGAATCACTTTATAGGTGATAGTGGAAACAAACTGGTTTGTTGGATAACAATGAAACAACCAATAATGCTACATGGTAACCTCATCAATTTGACAAGATATGAATACTTATTTGTTACTGTACCTTGCTGTTACTTTCTCCCTTTTTGTCAAAAAACATTTTATTTTCATGCCGTTCTTCTTTTCTAATAATCAGAGACGTTCATCAGCTTGAAAGCTTGCCTGCAGTAGTTAAGAAAGATATATCAAGTTATTAAATGTTTATGAAGACTGAAGTAAACACTTTTTTAAGTTTACCCTCTAAAGTTATAGAGATTACTAAGGCATTTATTTAATCTTTATTTGCTTTAGGCTTGCTGAAATCTACATGACTGCATGTTTAACATGCTAATAAGGGAATGTCTGATATGGGACTGATGCACCTTTTCTGTGTATTTTTGAGTTTTTCTATTTCTTTCACAAGACTGATGATATGAGGGAATTTTATTTTTGTTTATTTTCGTCAGTTCTAACAATCATATTGGTTCAATTACGACTGCATATGCATGTTGAAAAGCTTGTTTCCAATTAGAATATTATAAAAATAAACAATTTAAGTATCTTATTGAATCTGAGTGAATAATATAATCCAATAGGATAAAATCTAAAGTTATGTGTCATTTTAATCTGAATTAGATTTCACTAAATGAAAAACTAAGAGAATTGATTTCCCTTTCCTCCAAAAAAATATAAATACACATGTATATCATTAAAACATATGAACAATGAAATCAGCAATTTTTCTCCCTTAAGTGTTTAAAATAAATAAACCTTACAGTTTTACCAAATATATGGTATATAGTTTTAAAAATGCAACTAAAATATATAAAAGCAATGTCTGGTCTACAAACACCAGCCTGGAGAGAAATGTGTGGCCTTGAGAGAGAAACAGACTGAGTGAAAACTTTTATAGTGAGTAAATAGGATAAATTAATATATAACAGAAGAAAGATAAAATTTTTCCGACAACAGTCCACCCTTTCGATTATAAAAGGATATTATCCTTGTGTAATCGATATTATAAAA